TCAGAGCACAGAGCAATTGAAATGACATCTCAGTCAAACAAAGCACTTGTGTGACTGCTAGCTCATTTCACAGTGCCCAAGCCATGACTCCCATGTGCTGGGCAGCATCTTTTGGATGTCTGCTGGGATCCTGGGTGGGAGTGCAGAACTGTTTACCAGAAAGGTTTTCAGGCTTGAAAATAAATTACAGATTTCTGGGGGAAAATACTTTCCAGCTTTCAAGATTGTATTTGAAAGTCAGTGGAGAGGGACTTGCTAGCACAAAAGCTGTGTGCAACTCATGTCACATACGAGCACTGATGGATGAGCTGAGGCAGCAGTGTGCATTTGAGGGGGCTTTTTGAACTGCCTGGTCCTTTCTAATAAAACCAAAAATATGTGCAACACCTATATTAAGAAGCTACACAAATTCAAGCCAAGTAGATAGTGGTCGTCATGCTGGTCAAAGCTCAGCACCCTCAGTTCTGCTAACAGAGGACTATGCTACATGGACCTGTGATCTCGCTGTACTTAGTGGAAAAGTTCATATGCATAAAGCTAAATGTATGTGCAAATTTTGGGAGAGTGGGAAGCAGTTCCAGGAAACCAAATATCTAGATTTTCTGAAGGCTGAGTCCTTTGGTTCCTCTGAAAAAAAGTGATACAAGTAAAATAGTTGCTGTGAAATACTTTATTTGGCAGGAATAATCAGTGGGGTTAAGTGTGAGATGTGCATTTTGTGGGTAGGAAGGGCTGATCAGAGGCTGTAAGGTTGGGGGCCTCTTCCCTGCCTTCTGCACCCAGCTCACAGGTAGACTGATGGTGCAGCTGGTAAGAAACTCACTCCCCCAGGGCAATCCCTTTTGCTTTCAGTGTCTATTATATTAAAGAAGTGGAAGAACATATTCACATCAAGTTTTTTTATCAGCCTGGAGATCTTTTCGATAAATGCGAAACATACATAAGGTGGAGTTAACCAGCAGACCAATCAGTAAAGGTTCTTCCTGGGAAACAGCCAAACAACAACAAACTTATCTGTGTTTCCCATCTGCCAGAGTTTGGAGGCTGGTTTGCTTTAATGGGGACTCCTTTCTTCTATAAATTTCATGTGCAAGTAATTTCATACACGGTTTTGTGTGTCACTTAAGTGCAGGTGCCACTTGCAGCCATTAATACACAGCTATGCCAAGAGATGAGCACAAGGGTGCCCAGGACCTGTAAGACAGCCACAAATTACTTTCTCTGCAAAAAATGTACTTTTTCATATGTCATGTCTGAAAGCTGCTATTGGGAGCTCTCATTTCAAGCTAACACATTTATGATGAGTTGCTGGCATAGTTCAGCTTTGAAATTGGGCAAGAATAAGGTTTTCTGTGTTATGGGCTGCTGAATATGTGGAAAAATCTCAAATACTTTACCTTTTTCTTTCCAAAGTACACAGGATTCTGGCTGGAAATCATCCTTTCACATATTTAATTCCAGGGAGGGGTGCTTTAAAAAAAAACATAAAAAGCTGAAGAAGAGAAGTACTCTTTTATGTTGAAATGCTTTAATTTGCTTCTTTGACTGCCTTTCTGAAAAACTGAGGTTTTGATAACCCACCAAAAACTATTAGATGGTCAAATTATAAACACAGTATGAGTTTAGTTTGTATTGGGAAATGTGTGTTGTCTCCCTACACCCAGAGGGTCTGGCAAACTCTCATGGCCTCATTGATCTAGTTAATGACACGACAACCAGTTCTACGTGTTGGGAAGGCAGGTGGTGAGCAACTGGGTGAGGTGGCTTAAGCTGTGGAGAGGAAACGTGTTGTGGTCCTTGGAGGTCCTCATACAGTCCTGTGGTTTCATCTCAGAATAACTATAACTAGCTCCAGGAGCTAGTGGAGAGGCTTTCTCTCTTTGTCTTGAGATGGATACTGCTGTTGGTTGAACTTTCGGGGGCTGAAGTTACTTTCTCCCTCCAGCAGCTGCCTTGTAACTCCAGACCAGCAGCTCTGCCTGCAGCAGAGGGAGAGAGGATCATAGAATAGTTTTGGTTCGTAAAGACCTTTAAGATCATCAGGTCCAACCATTAACCTACGGCTGCCAAGTACATCACTAAACCATGTGCCTGAGATGCTAGAAGTTGCATGAAAGCCCTCAGACCTGTGGCTCCAGGGGCTGTTGGTCCTAGTGCCAGCTGACTTTGTGCTTTGCATTTCAATCCCCAAGTGAAGGGACAGAAACAAAAAATGCTGGGGGAGGGGAAGCCGAAGGGTAAAAGAACCAAGTGCTTTCCCAGCACTGGTTTTACCCTGAAGAGTTGTGGGATTTTTTTAGGTCAAAACAGTGCTGCTACCGAATTAAAAACAAAAAAATCCCATACAACAAGAACCCAACAAACTTGGTTTTTTACCTTTTGGCACCCTTCCTGGTTATGCCACCAGCTGCAGATCTGGGACACGGCGGGGCAGGAGCGCTTCCGATCCATCACGCAGAGCTACTACCGCAGCGCCAACGCGCTGATCCTCACCTACGACATCACCTGCGAGGAGTCCTTCCGCTGCCTGCCCGAGTGGCTGCGCGAGATCGAGCAGTACGCCAGCAGCAAGGTCATCACCGTGCTCGTGGGTGAGTGCCCAGGGGCCCTGGCACAGCGGGCGGGTGGGCTGGGCTGGGGAAGGGCTTGGCAGGAGGAAAACGGGGCATCTGTGTGAGCTGGTGGGGCTGGGTGCTCGAGCTGGGGCTGCAGGTCTTGCTGCCCACCAGAGATGTCACTGCAGGTGGGCTGAGGGTGCAGCCGGTGTCTTAACCCAGTGCTTGGCCCATTCCTTCTGAAAATTGGTGTGGCTGACACACCAGAAGGCTGTGCTGCCATTCAGTGAGGCCTGGGCAGGGAGAAATCTGATGAAATTCAGCAAGGGCAAGTGTAGAGTCTTGCATCTGGGAAAGAACAGCCCCATGGACCAGTACAGGCTGGGGGCTGACCTGCTGGAGAGCAGTGTAGGAGAAAGGGACCTGGGGGTCCTGGTGGACAGGAGGATGACCATGAGCCAGCAATGTGCCCTTGTGGCCAAGAAGGCCAATGGCATCCTGGGGTGCATTAGAAAGGATGTGGTTAGTCGGTCAAGAGAGGTTCTCCTACCCCTCTATTCTGCATTGGTGAGGCCACATCTGGAGTATTGTGTCCAGTTCTGGGCCCCTCAGTTCAAGAAGGACAGGGAACTGCTTGAAAGAGTCCAGTGCAGAGCCACAAAGATGATGGTGGGAGTGGAACATCTCCCTTATGAGGAAAGGCTGAGGGAGCTGGGTCTCTTGAGCTTGGAGAAAACGAGACTGAGGGACAACCTCATCAATGTTTACAAATATGTAAGGGGTGAGTGTCAGGGGTTCTATGTAAATATCAGAAAAAACTTATTTCGTGTGAGAGTGACAGAGCCCTGGGACAGGCTGCCCAGAGAGGTTGTGGAGTCTCCTTCTCTGGAGACATTCAAAACCTGCCTGGACACGTTCCTGTGTGATGTGCTCTGGGTGATCCTGCTCTGGCAGGGGGGTTGGACTAGATGATCTTTCCAGGTCCCTTCCAATCCCTAGGATTCTGTGAAATTACCTTGAGTGCAGCACAAGCCACTAAGATGGTTAAGGGCCTGGAGCATCTGCCATATGAGGAAAGGCTGAGAGAGCTGGGGCTGTTCAGCTTGGAGAAAAGGAGGCTGTGAGGGGATCTCATCAATGCTTATTGATGAGATAAAGATCTGATGGGGTCAGACTCAGTGGTATCCAGTGAGAGAACAAGGGGTAATGATCACAAACTGGTACACGTAAGATTTAACCTGAATATGAGAGAATACTTCTTTACTCTGAGGGCAACAGTGTTGCAACAGGCTGCTCAGGGAGGTTGTGGTGTTTCCATCACTGGAAACATTCAGCTCCTGCCTGGATATGTTCCTGTGTAATTTGCTCTAGGGGATCCTGCTTTAGCAGAGGGGGTGAACTAGATGATTTCCAGAGGTCCCTTGCAACCCTTACAATTCTGTGTTTCTGTGTGGTTCTATGAGATGCTGATACTGATGCTCAGGCCACCACAGGCACTTCTTAAAGTATGATCCTGTCTGAGGCAGTTGCATGCAGAGGTGGGTGCCTCCCACCAGCTGGTCCCTTGTAGCTTCCAACTGAGCTCCGAATAGAGCCATTTGTGACCCCCAGCTCAGACCTCTACAAATACACCAGGATCTGCTCAAGCTCCAGGATCTGCTCAAGCTGAGATTGCCTCTGGGTTGCTGTACCCCATAGCTGTGGGACAACTGGAGGCTTGAGTGGGTCAGGATCTGGTAACCAGATCAGGATTTGAGGGTTGTATGGATCATGGCAAAAATAGGTGGGACGGAGCTGGAAAAAAGGATATTTTTTTTGCATGGATTTTAAGGAAACTAAAAATAAATATTGGAATGTTATGCTAATCTGTAGGGCTTCAACTCAAGCTAAAACAGACCTCAGGCCATCTGTCTGCTTACAAGCAAGGTGAAGGTTATTTTGGCTTCTCATGCTTTTCCATGCTCTGCTTTCAGCATCTGATAGACAGGATTTGGTTTTTAAAGGCCCAAGGGTATATAAGGAACAGTGGGGAAAAATAACCTGGTCAAAGCCAAAAAGTGTCATTATCTCTTTGATAGTTTGTTATTTAAAAGAAAAATGTAGTGGGTGGTAAAAGGTGTTTAAGGTGGCTTTAAAAATCTTTTGAGCTTTACATACCCCAGTGGTATTGCAAGTGAACCTTGGGATTTACAGAGCTTACATACAAGAAACTCATTTTTAGTCCATGGGAAGGGTATAGCACATGTACAAATCATGCAGAAATAATTAATAAATGGCTAACAAATGTATACATGAATTTTCTAAGTAACATTAAGTCAGTTCTCAGCATTCTGCAGCACAGAATATAAATGGTCACAGCCATAACACGCTTTGAAGTTGTGACGTCCATAAACTGCTTGTGTGGAGTGATAATTTGTTTAGAGAGCTAACTTAAGCATGTATGGACCAATGGGCCCATGAAACTGCTTTATCAGGAAAGAAAGGAGATCTCAGGAGGGCAATGAGACACACCAGTGGAAGCGTTGTCTTTTCCTCCCACTAGTCCTCACAGAATTGCTAGTAGGAGCAAGGCCAGGAGATGTTTCCTTCTGAACCTGCCAGATCCATGGATGCAGTCCCCTGTTATTGCAGGTCCTGGTCTGTTATCTTTTATAAGATGAATTTTTGGCAAAACTATTGTGTTTGAAGTGAAGTGGCCAGTAATAGGGCATAATCGTATCAGGTGCTTGCTCAAGGCCTTAATCAACTCTCTGCTAAAGTGAGCTCTGCAAAGGAGGGGGCTGGTTTCTCACCCCAGCTCGCTCTGCAGGTGCCCCTGAGCCCATCCCTCCTCCACCAGCAACAGCCAAATCCTTCAGGGAAATGTTGAAACGGGAAAGCTGCCTTTCCATGCCAGGTTTCTTTTAGAGCTTGTAATGACATGAGAAATGTCACATTTAGTGTCTCATATGGTATAATTGACATTTTAAGTGCTCCTCAGAGCAGGAACAGGAGAATTTTTGATAGATAATGAAATGGAAATGCTTTAATGTTGGTTGATAGCAGTAAACAGATGCACTGGTGCTAAATTGCAGCTAACTGGCTTGGATGTTCACAGGGCATATTCCATTAAATGAGCTGATATTAAATGAACTTGGCCATGTGTATCAGGGGATCTATTATTTGGAGGGGCAAGCAAGCAAGCACGAAGAGTTGCGTGTCAAAACCCCTGTCCACGCACACATACAGCACCAACTTCCTCTTTATCCCTTATCAACCCCTGCTTCTCTTGTTTTGGAAGTCAAATTAATTCCCTTTCTAAAATCTTTTATCAATGCAGGTAATAAGATTGATTTAGCTGATAAGAGGGAAGTCTCCCAGCAAAGAGCTGCAGAGTTTTCCGAAGCGCAGGACATGTACTATCTGGAAACCTCAGCAAAAGAATCGGATAATGTGGAAAAACTCTTCCTGGACTTGGCCTGCAGGTTGATCAGCGAGGCACGACAGAACACCCTGGTGAACAATGTCTCATCCCCCTTACCAGGAGAGGGGAAAAGTATCAGCTACTTGACTTGCTGTAATTTTAATTAAAGAGCTGATATGGAATTGCCCCTTCCAGCGTGGGCCAAGAGGATTTTTTTTTTTTGTTGGGATTTATCTACTTCAAGGGTATTCCTGCCACTTTGATCCATCTGACTTACCCTGAGGTTGCAGGCTTGGAAGCATGGCAGGCTGGTGGCTCCAGCTGCATGGCAACATAGCAGAATACACATGGTTTAATTTTCATTTTCCTTGCAGTCTCTGGAGAAGGTCAGGAAAAGAAGAGCTGCATCAGTGTCTCATGCAATGCAGACCAGGAACTATTGTGTTTCCTCCTGTGGGACACCACAGCAGCCCCTCTTGAAGAAGATACTGAAGAGAGCAATGTACTTGGTCCTTTTCAAAATATTAAAAAAAGAAAAAGCCAACAATGAGTGCTGACCCTGGACTACACTGGCAATATTCTGGGCTGCCAGAGAGTGAGCTCTTAGGACATGTACATAGCATCTGCCCATGCATCTTCATGGAGGACTCTGGTGTTTGAAGTGGTGTTATTTCTCTCATCTACAGGCACTTTCATGAACGTGGAATTAAAAAAAAAAAAAGTCACATATATCAACATTTTCAATATTTATGAAGACATGGATACAACTCAGTTGCTCCCTTTGGTGCTAGCAGTTCAGCAAATATTCTGTAGACCAAACGTAGTCTTATTGCATTACTGTCCTCTGAATGTGTAACTTAGAAAGGTTAGGAAAAAAACCACTAATAAGCACTGTTCATAAAAGTAAAAAAATAAATCTCGTTACCTCTTTTTCTAAGCCTGAAAATAGTGGGAAAGGACTGTGCTTCTTTGATATCCAACCTAGGATGAAAAGACTTTCCAGAAATAAAAAAAAGAAAAATAATGAACCCTTCCTCCTCTAATTAGTAATGTCCTAATGTGAAAAAATTATCTTTGGGAAAGGTTTTTGGAGTTGGAAAAAGTGCACCAGATGTGACCAAAATCTTGTGTGCGTGGATTGTGTGTTAAGGGTTCAAAGAGAGCACAGTGTGAAGAGGCAGTCTGCAATATATCCAGCTTAAAAATAAAGCTTGTGGATACAGTTCTTGTACAAAGGCAGGTGTACAATTTTGTTGAGGGTTTTTTTTAATGCTAACTGGAAATAGCAACAGGTTTCAAGTGGTATCATTCTGTGTCTGACCCATCCACCACTCACCTGGTAGACCTGATCTCCAAGATGCACTTAAAGGTATCTTCTTGGTATCCAGTCTCTCTGCTGGAGTAGCTTTCAGGTTCAGAGCAGTAGAGTTGTTTAATTTCCTCAATGCTTTGTACTCCTAATCCCAGACTCTGGTGTTTGTGTAACTGTGTTTAGGCAATTTCTTCCTACAAAAATTGGAAGACAGTGAATGCACACGAGAAAAATTACATTTAGAAGTTTGAGTTTAGTTTAGCTAACCTGAATAAATCTCTCCTGGCAATTACATGGCTGTGATATGATGTTATTTAAAGTTAATACATTTAATGTTATTTGGCTTTTACTGAAGATTATAACAGAACTTCTGTATTGACATAAAAAGCTGCCAGTAAGTACTTCTTGAAGAGAATAACTTTTTTTTTTTTTTTTAGAAAAAAATGAACAACCAAAACATTATCAAATGCATTCTCACATTTTCCTGGCAAGACTTCTTGGGGTTGTGTCATGTTGTGCCTTTCGTCTGTAATGGGAAGCTGACTCTATATGGCAGAGAGAGGAGAGAATCAGTGTATCATATAGCCATTTCAAATATTTTCTTGCCATTTTCCCCTTATTTTATGATTAGTGATAAAAAGGAAGATGTAGAAGTTGTGGTGCAAGGCTTGTATGTCATTTAGGTAACACTTAGCAAAAAGCTTATGTAAGTGCAAGATGTGGGGAGCGATGTCACCTGCTGCACTGGCCTGGTCCTTTTCAGCCTCTGCTCATGGTATAATCCAGAGGATTCAGAAATGTGAGGAACTTGGTGGCTTCTGCTGTGCTGGGCTGTGTGGTACAGCCTGTGCTGAAGAGCAGTGTCTGTCTTGAGCATTCCCCAGACTGCCAAATGCTGCCTCATTTGAGCTTGTGAAGGCCACTCAGCAGCTCTGAGCCTGCTCTGAGGCAGCCAGTTCTGCACAGCTTTTGGGTAGTTGTTCAGAGCACGGCTCAAGGTAACACTCAAGCTAAAAACCAATATTGTGTATATTTAATTTGTAACAGTGCCTACTCTCCAGGTGCTGCATTTGTCAGCATACAATTGATAACAAGTAGGGCAGAGCTGCTTGATCAAGTTAATCAAGGAGGTGGGAAATTGCCCACTAAACACCTGTGGGTTCTTCAGCCCGATTTCCAAGCATTCATTCCTAGACAGGTAATTTCCATTCCAGTGTGAGTACCATTATAAATGTGTTTTAAAGTGCTCCTTGCATAACTTCTGGAGGTTGAACTCTAGTGCATTATCAAGATGGTCAAGTAGCAGAAAGTATCTTTTTCCAGTGCTTTCCTAACCTGTAGGTGACTATTTTGGAGACTAGCCTACTAGCAACCTTGAAGCCTTGGTTGGTTTTATTGCTAACAAATCCTGTAAGGATTCCATCTCCAGACAGTGACTTGCTTTTCTGACAGGGTGAAGTGCTGCAGGTGGGCTGACGTTACCGTGAAGTATCTGACCTCTCCAGGGACAAATCTAAACAGGTTCTTTTCAAGGTTTATTCTGTGTAGACTTAAAAAGTTGGAAGGAAACACTGGTAGTATGTTGAACATTTTTTGAGGCTATAAGCCAAAGCTGTATTTTGAAATTTGTCTCTTTTTCTGCAGTTAACACATTACCTGTTGAGGAGTAGTACAGTATTGTACTGTAGTAACTCCTTTGCAGGAGTTATTTTTGTATGCCTTTGAGTATCTCTGTAGTTGATAAAAACTCGCCTGTCCTTGTAGCACTGAGGGTGTATCTTCTCTTCTGCAGCTGGATCCACTGCTGAAGGCTTCTTAGCTAGGAGATGAGATTTATCAACTGCTAATGGCAACTTAGTACTGTGGCATAGTGATCAGTGTCTTTAAAAATAAAAGGAGATAATAATGATGCAAATCCTAATTATCTGACAATCAGCTTTCCAGCTCTGGCTAACACCTTGCTAATTGAGTGAATTTTCAGTAAAAATAAAAGCCTTGTGGTGCTTGCTGGGTCAAGTGTTCAAAAGCCATTGAAAAGAATTGGTATTATGGGGCCAAATTTGACTGGAAATGTTCTCTGCTATTGAGAGAGCAAAGCATTGCTTTTAGTGTGGTTGCTAGGTGTTGATGTGAATACACCACCCTGAAAATATAGCCTTCTCATTTCTGGGTGAATATTAACTGTTATAGTAGTTCCATGATGAGACCTTTTCTTGAAATTTTAGAGCTCCAAGCAGAAGCCAATATTGTTTGGTCAATAGATGTTTGCTTTATCTAGCAAATCTGCTTGCAGACACTAGTAAAAGCATCTCCCTAAAACTGGATGGTCTTAACTCTGCTTTGTAGCCCAGCTACTGAATCAGTTGGGGTGATCTTGGGGAAACCACTAGAGGTTCTGTGCTTCAGGTCACTGTATGTGAAGTACTCACTAGTGTTTTCTCTTGGGTATTTACAGTGCAAGTTTGCTGGGACAAGTCTTGACTCCCTTCTGTTCCTCTCTGTGTTCCTCATGAGAAACCAAGGAGTGCTAGGAAAAAAAACAACCTTTCTGGTCAAAGAGTTATGATTGAAAAAAGTGATATTGTGAACTCTGTAAAGAAGGGGACACTGGGTCCCACTTCCTACCTCTTAACACTGAAGTCCTGATTGGATCTACAGGTAAGTTACTTGAGTGTGCAGTCAGATAAATATTTGTGCTGAATGCCAAATGGTTTTGTGATCATTATTTAATGAAAACCACACATGACAGAATGTCAGGCAAGATACTTTGTTCTTTGCTGGGGAACACAAGGAACAGCCCTTAAAACCTGTGAGCCTGCTGGTGTTGTCTTTTTGGAAATAGCTCTGTTGTAACAGTTGGCTCCTGCTAGTCTAGGTTTAGCAGTTAATGGCTATTGAATTCCTGCAGCATCAGTAACAACAGCAGCAGACTGAGGCTGACACAGGAGACAGTGATTTGAAAAGGGGGAAAGTCAAAATTAGTGATGCAGAAGCATAGTGGGGGCAGGCACAGGGGACAACAGACTTTCCCTGAGATTTTCCTGACAAGGCATGCAGTTAGTTTTAGTCAAACCCACTGGGTTTTGCCTTGTTTGTTATCCCCAAGGACTCCTGTTTGTTCAGCTGCTTTTCTACTTCTCTTTTCAGTATGAGGAACTGTATATGAATCCGGCTGAGACATGAGCTGGCATGATTTCTGTAGTCTGAGATGGATTTCAGTTGGAAAATAGGTGAAATTCTGCAGCTATTAAAACAGGCTGAGCCAAGATGCAGGCTGCACTGCCCTTTGGGGGCCTGTGGTGCCATAAAGGTTGGAGACACTGTCATAGAAACCTCCTGGCTCTGGGGCAGACTGAGTGCTATAACCCTTTGTGCAAGAGGAAAGATGACTCTGTGGCACAGAGAATGCAAAGAGGTGGCTTTACTGACTCAGGCTTCATCCTCTTAAAGAAAATCTAGGACTTGGATTTTGATTGCTCTGGACTTTCATAAGGGATGCTTTGAATTTTAGTTTCCTCTGAAATTCTGCATTCTTTTGCTTTTATATCAAAGCATGCAATATCCTTATATGGGTTGCTTCTACTGACAAAGTCCTTTTTGAGTTAATTCAGTTAGAAAAAGGTGTTTCTGGAGGATGCTTTGTGTGAATTCCTAGTGAGGGAGTGTGGAAGCTCTGGAACATGGATGTACATAAGGGCTCACCAGAAAACCCACTGCAGCCAAGGGAAATACTCTAATCAATTCTAGTAGTGAAAACCCTGTGAAAGATTTTCTACTACATGTTTCCTTACTCTGTTTATAAACTTATTTCCTTATCTGAACAGATTTGGCTTTTGACAGCACCCTCTTCCTTGTATCAAGTCTGTCCTTTAACTGTGGGTAACAGTGATTCTAGCTGTTGTTCACAAACAGCAGAGAATCTTCATATTGAAGGACAGTCCTGTCTTCTTTTGACCATGAGTGGTGGGGAAACACTAGCTTGATTTCCTACAAGCAAGCAGTGCATCCCAAGCTAAACAGCCTCGGCTGGAACCGGTCATGTCTTTGAAATGTGATCATCCACTCGAGCTGTAGTTAAATGTACCATAAAGGTTACAGATTTCACATCTGCCCCAGTTCAGCATTTATCTTGGCTAGAAAAATAGACAAGAGGGCAGTCACACTG